GAGCTGTTCACCCAGAGTAACATTCTGTTCCAGCCCAGGCTGTTTGCAGGAGACTTTTTGGAGTGCTGTTTCTCTCATCAGCACTCACCCTGCTCAGGTCAGGAGGAAGCAGATAGGAAAGGTGAGCACACAAGGCACATCCCACCATGGAGGTCTGGAAGTTCCTGCTTCCCAATGCAAGTTTGCTCTGAAGCTCAAACCAGACCGAATCAAATGTACCAGTTTGCCCAGAGTGGCTTTATCCTTACACCAGTTCCAGTCAGAACTCACTTTACCTTCTTTCAAGCAAGAAGCTGTTTTCTTGCTGAGCAGGGATGTAGCCAGCTCAGAGACTTAAAAGTTTGCTACTCATCTGCAATTCCTTATTTCCTTGGCAGTTTTGGCATTATTTTCTCTCACAAAGAGGAACCAAAATAAAATAAATGAGAGAGAATCCAATCAAGGGTATCTGCTGTTTGGGACAGGCATGACAAGCTCAGAAGGTGAATATTCACTGTCACCAGTTTGCCCCAGGGAGGGGAGAGGGGGACTCAGTGTTACAACATGTTAATTATTTCCCCAAAGATTTTCTCAGGAACTTGTAACCCACACCCAGAATCTCAGGAGCACGTCTGCTGGGTGTAGGCAATAAGGAAATCAGAGAGGGAAGAGGATGAAATACCTTAAGTCAGCAGGAAAGTTTAAAGAGCTTGAAGCCAGGGGTTATCAACCAAACAGAGTGGCCCAGTTATGCAACTGAGAGGAGGATAAAAACACCAAGGAAGGCTGAATACTGTTAGGTTCCCAAAATATAGAAAGATAACTGGCTCAACTGACCATGAGAATTACATTAAAATACAGATTTCATAGCATCCACCAGGATTAAAAAGAAATCCTCAAGAATCTTAATGTACCTCTTCCCAGCAAAGCCACGCAGTGTCATGGAGCAGTAGAGAGTATCTGAACTCTGGGCAGCACCTGGAGGTCACCATCCATTTGTTCTCAGGGAGAATTCCATTTATCTCCCATCACAAAGTAACAACAGCGGTGCACAATAATTTTTAGTCAGTATTTTGGTGTTTTGGATGGGAGAGAGCTTTGTATTGTACTATTTTTCTTATACTAAAAAGGTACTAGAAAGCTTGAAAGTTCAGATCCTGAAAGGCCTGTGGGTTTTATGGTAGGCAGGGTTTTATGGCAGGCTTTCTGAATTTTTTCTCCCATGCAAAAATATTTCTCATTTTCCACCCAGGCAATAATTCTGAACTTAGCACAGCAACAATCTCAGCTCTGATAGTGATGATTAGAAGTACTTTGACAGACTTCCACCACCCATGAAGTGTCCAAGGCCAGGCTGGATGGGGCTCTGAGCAGCCTGGCCTATTGGGTGGGGTCTCTGTCTATGGCAGAGAGGTTGGAACTGGATGATCTTTAACATCCCTTTCCACCCAAACCATTCAGAGTCGAGGATTAGCAACGCCCTTCTTCCAAACTCCAAATTAATCTTCTTCTTACATCAGGTCTCATTTTTTTCCATCAAATTAATCATTACTCCTCTTATATAAGCAGTGGACTGAATCAGGTCATCTTGGTTTTGGGAGGAGGAACCATTTTCACCACCTTGTTTGCACAACAGAACCACTGACTCTGCCACATCCAGCCCCTGCACACTGCTCCCCCTCACTCCTTCCTGGGCCAGTCCAGCTCCTAAGCATTGTTTTTGTGTAGGTCCCACAATCCCACCCACATGCAATGTAGCAAATGCTTGCTTTGAGTTTTTGGTTGGTTGTTTTTTTTCTATTTAACCAAGTGACATTTTTCAAACCAGATGACTTTTTCCACTTTAAATGTTAGCAAAGGAGGGGTGATGAGGAGGGGGATGTGGTGAGGAAACCAATCAGTTCATCTTTCTCCTCTAGTTTAATGCAACACTGCCCTTACTCTTACACAACAGCAGCACTTTTCATATATATTTTTCACCAAAATGTCTAAATGCTGCAGAGAAATTACCTACTAAGATGCCTAGCCCATACATTCTCTATTTTCTACCACCTGTCAATCACCGTTGTTGAATGCATTAGAAAATGCTGTTCTCTTTTGTATTTTGCCAAGCTTACTCACATGAGATACCATGTCCCTACTGCTATTAAACGCCCCAAGGGACAGAGCAGTCAGGCATCTGACTATACCTCCTCAGATATACCAGACAAATCCTCTGAAGCCACTCCAGGATAATACACAGTAATCAGGAGTGCAAGGTTTAAGAAAAACTTTTTGAAGTTCCTTGTGCTGTCAAAAGTCAGCCACCAACCCAACGAAGGTAGGAGCACTTGGAGATTACGGTGCCACATTCACCTCCTCAAACTCCTGTAGCATCACAAAATGTTTGAAACGTGACAAAGGCAATTTCTGTCCCCTCCCAGGCACACCAATGACAATAGCTACAGTTTTTAGCACAGTTTATCTTTCTGCTCAAGCACAAACCAGACAGTGGCTGGTACTGTCAGAGAAGAGCACCTCATGTTTGCCAAAGTGAGCAGTGGAGTAGGTTATAGAAAAGAGGGCAGTGCACAGCTCCTGGCCTCACTGAATGGAGCACAGAGCACCTTTAAGTAGAGACCATCTTAGGATGGCCAGGACAGCAAGCAACTGCTTGGACACAGGTTAAACAGGAAGGTGAACTACTTTATATACAGAGTGACTTCAAGCCAGGAGAAATTAGGGGATTGTTCTAACATCTATCTCCCATACATTGATGGAACACTTTGTTTTCCTCTCTCTTCAGGAGCTGTCCTCACAGTCACTGAGGTTTCTAAAGAGATGCTGCTTTCTCTCCTACAACACACATCAGTATTTTAAGCACTCACCACCAAGCCCAACTTTACCCTTCAGACCTGCTCTGCCCCTTTCCTAAAAGGAGAAAAAAAGAGAGGGGGGAAACACACTAGTGGTAACACACTAGAGGTAACACACTGCTTTTGTGAGAGCAGCAACAAGCTCTGCTGCAGCATCCAGGTGGGGAAGAGGGAAGAGGAAACTTTGCCACTGATGCAGCATTCTCTCTGATCTGCATGCCAACACAAGTGGCAATTAGCCCAGTTACAGATCTCACACCATTTGGCTCTGCTTTCTCCTGGGAAACATGAGATGGGGTGGATGCAAACACCTTGCCAAAGAAGCAGTGGAGTTGGCCACACTGAAGGGGAAGCAGGAGCAGTTACTCAGAACCATAGCAAAGCAAAACCCAATCTTGGCACTCCCCACTGTCCCAGAAATCTGCAGGGACAGGCCCTTAACACAAGTTCAGGTTGTGAAGAAGAGTATCAGCCACCTCTCCAGCACTGCCTGCTCCCCTGAGATTTTCTCACTGCGCAAGAGGCCCATGACCGCTGGCAATGTCACACTGCCCACCCAGAAAGGCAACGCTGAAATCCACTCCTATTTTCCATGAGCTAAGAGAAACAGCTTAAATATTACCCAGCACTGCCAGCCCTTGTGATGGGTAAATGCTTCTGCGATCAGGGGGACATCTTTATTTAAATGGCATCTGTATGGCAGGTGCCATCAGCTCCGTCACCCAATCCATTTGTGTCAAACCCTTATGCAACCGGTGCAAACAAGTCCTGTCACTCACCCAGACTGCTCACACAAAAGGACCATGTGCCAAACATGCTGACCCCTCTATTAAAATCAGCATCATCCAGCTTTTTATAGAAAACAGCTGATTCCCTAAGGACTCTCTGCCACCATAACACGAATTGCAAAACTTTCAGGGCCGACCACATGGTTTAGGATCTACCCACCCAGGTAGGCAGCGACTTCAGAACGCAAAAGGCTCACCGAAAATACGCCCAATGCAAATCACTTTATTTCTGGAAGAACAGAATTTTTTTCCCCCCCCTCCATGTTTTAGCTTACTCCACCTTCCAAAATAGCCTGAACTTAGTCAAGAAAGGCATGTTCATTTTGGAATGAAGCTGCACGCACACAAAGCGCTCACAGAAGAGCTGTGGCAGAACAACTTGTTCCTCAATAGCTATTCTGAACCACGTCTCAGTAACAGATCCAGAGTACATCTCTGTAAACGAGACATGTTGATCTGACAACCTGGTTCAAGTGGTGGGTAGAAACTTAAAACTTTTACAAAAGCAGGAGCTCTCACTGACAACTCCCTTGAAGTAAGGGCACATCAATCCAAGGGAAAGAAAAATCAGATAACATTCACTTCTTTCCTAGAGACCTGCTTTGCATCTTCAAGTATTCAAAAGTCATCAGTCCAGCTCCAGTGTTGGTAAGATCAGCTTAAAAACCAATATAATTAAACTTACTGTGTTTAAAATTTACCTCCTGTTTAGGAAAAGAAATTCCTTTTTCCAAAACATTCCTACATAACCACAAGGCCCAGAACCTTACATTTATTTCAAATGGAAGACAGGACATTAAAGGAAATTACAGATTTAAGGAAGCAGGGGCTGTAAAGGACTTGATTTATAGCAGAGCTTACAACTTGGCCACAATCAATAGAAATCACTGAACATATTGAACATTAAAACTAAGACACTGAATATCTCAGAATTCTATTTGGCTTGTTATTATTATTTGCCAAGGTCCCAGATCAAAAAGTGGTTCAGAAGAATGACCTTATTACTCACTGCTTTTACACAGCCTGAACACTGCCTTTCTGAATGAGAATTTTTTTTTGAAATAGTGTGTTAGTATTTTTCTCTTCTGATTTTGTTTCCCCCATTCAAAATTTCACTCAGTACTGCAAGCACTAGTTAATGCAATGCCTTTCCACATGCTCCATTTCACTGTCAGGCTCTCACTATCCAGGACTCCAACATAGTGAGAAAATCTTTGGGAAGCATCACTTAAACAAAATAAACTGCAGAATTTTTTCCCCTAAAAGGTTTCACAGGCTTAGGGTTTTATACAACAGCTTGTTTTAACAAACTGTATATTCGGGATCCAGTTTAAATCGGTGTCTCGTTTCAGCCACCCTGCCTAAAACATGCTCTTACTTCCTTTACAGCAACGTGAATTTGTTCACCGCGGCCAGCTGATACCACATCCCTATTAGGTGCATATGGATACATATACAGGCATGTGCTGTCTCATCGGAGCTGCCCATGACCGACAGCAGGCTCGTTCCGCCAGGAGGAAGGTTCCTAAGGCGTTATCTGCACCCGGAGCGGTTTAGTGTTACGGGGCTGAAAGGAAACAGAGAGACATCCTGTTTATAGGCTGTAGAGCCCGATGGATAAACAAGTGCACCTCAGTTACAGGCAGAGCGGGGCAGGGCGAGGGGAACAAAAGGGCAGAAAGAGAGGCTTAGCGGGTGTGAGGACACGGAAATAGCAGGCGGGCTGGCAGCAGCAGGCGAGGCTGCCCGTGTGCCGGGGGCTGCAGAATGTACACAATGTGCCGCCCCGCCGGGGCTGCCGACCCTCGGCGCCCCTGCCCCGCTCGGCTTTCACCCCGCTGCCCGCCCGCTTCCTGCCGCTCCGGCAGCCGACACCGGAGATGTTCCTGCACACCCTCCTCCCTGCTCTCCCAGCACGCCCACACCGAGCCTTTCTGTGCTTCATCTGCCAGCTGGGCACGCTCGGGGTTCTTGCAGTGCCACAGTGGGAAGCGTGGCGAGCGGGGCCGTGCCTGTCTGCTGGTCACCTGGGGAAGCCGAGAGCTTTCCCCCTTCCCCTGGCAGCTGCTGCTGGCCAGAGGTGGACTCTGGGCTGGATGGACAGGGTCTGAAACAACCCAAAGTCACTGCTGTCCCATCTCCGGCTACAGCAGGGAGGAGACAGTCCCAAAACATGTTCCTCCCATTCCTCTTCAGTCAGGAAAACACTGTGAGTGCATCACCAGGTTAGGAGGTACCAGACTTATTCTCATTTGAATTATCACTTGTGTTCACTGGCATGAGGGAGTGGGTCAGGGACAGAACTATGGGATGAATGCAAGAAACAGGAGATTCTATAGAAAAACCCTACAAAAAGCCCTCTGCTTCTGACATGGTTCTGTCCATCACTAAAGTGATGGGAAAATGTGAAGTTCTACCTTGGTCCAGACCCAAGTGCCCCTTGTGCTTCTAGCAGATGTAAACCCACAATACTCTCCTGGACTGGCCCTCACCAAGAAGCAGAAACCCTCTGGCTGTTCCAACACCTACCAAGGCACCAATGTAGTGACCATGGAGCTCCAGGCTACCTCCAGCCTCTGCAGCAAACCTTCTCCAAATAACACCTTGATGTCACAATGAGCAGCAGACAGGGACATCTGGCTGCTGTTGACAACCCCCTAACAAACAACATAAACTGGGACGGGAACATGGAAGACCTTATGGGCTCAGACAAATAAGGAGCCCAACAGAGATGTATCCTACCTGGCCAATCTTCATGTGAAGCTTCTAATCCCATTTTCCACACCTTTGATCATTTTTCCCCCTTCACTAGTGAACACAGCCACATCCATCCTCACCCAGCACAGTTTTGGCTCCCCTGCTTCCAGTTACAGACAAACATCTCATGGCAGCTCACAAGGGAGGATTCAAACAGAGCACTGACACCTCACAGGGCAGCCCAAAACAAGAGACCCAGGTCAAGGCTCAGGTGTGACTTCTTACATCTGTTTCCTTCTCAGATTTTACTGCCTTATTTTCTCTGCAGGTCCAGAAACTCTCTACAAAGGGGAGGGACAAACCTCAACATGTTCCCCAGCCCTTCTAGTCTGAAAGATTCCATCCTGTCCTAAGCATGACCAAGGGATAATTACCCCTGTGTATACACGCAGAACTTGCTGGTGATGCCAGCATTCACACTCTGAGCACTGCCATCACAACATGGCTGGCACAGCCAATGCTTCACAAGCACCACAAAAACACCACAGCTCTGTGAGGACACACAAGAACAGGACTTGCTCACATTCTGACATGAGCTGGGGATGAGGCAGTGCTGCCAGGCCCTTGGCTGATGAATTGAGGCCTGGGCAACCTGAGAACTATTCCCAAAAGAAAGTCCTGAGCACGTAATTTCTCACTTGTTTCCTATCCTACTCTTTGTCTCCTGCAACACAGACACCTCTGACTCATACCAAGTTTCTGCAGGGCCTGACACAACAGGTCGACAGACTCTCCTTGAAATCAAACAACAGCAAGCACAAGGTGACGGTGTCTTGGCCAGGAAGGACCCAGATTCAAGACAGTCCTCAGAGGCACAACTCCAAGCTAAATAAATGTTGATGAACTCCTTTCTCTTCAGCTCTGTGTAGTTCTGATGCCTTTATTTTGCTTTCCTTCCAGCTGGAAAGAAAGTTCATTGAGAATGAAAGCTAGTGACTCGCAGTGAGCAGTGACAGATGCTGCCTGCCTGCATGTGTGAAAAAACTCTGACAGGCAGAAATAACACACCTCACATGTCTTGTGGTGGCAGTGAAGCAATAAATATTCTAATAGACTACTAAGGCTCATAGTAATAATGCTGAGCTCCCTTTACAGAAGCCACTCCCCATGCCAGATGACATCTGCCATGGTATAGATGTTCCTGGAACAGGGAGATATTTTTAAATCTCTCAATGTGGCACAAAACTGTGAGTGTATCAGCCAAAATACCAGCCATCACAGCGTTTATATATAGCCTTGCACATACTGTCTATAGATGGGAACACAGACAGATACATGGTATCTAGCAGCATTACAAACAGACATTCTTCTGCTGGTCTCCTGTACTTGAGAAGAAACTTCCCAGCCAGCAGCTCCGCCTGTGTCATCCCATCCTGTGCAGTTCTCCATCAGTTCTGTTACTCAGGTGTGTTAAGTGCTGCATCTCCGTTCTCATCATCAAAAGTCTGTCCCTCCACTTCTCACATGTCCCCTCTTCTACAGGTCAGTGTAGGTAACAGGGCCTCCCCACAGCTCTGAGCACCCCTCTGTACACATATCTTCCAAACCACAACCCATGGGCCCCAAAACTTCCTCTGTGCTGTGACAGGTCCTGAGAAGGGGTTAGAAAATCTTCAAGGCAGTCCAGTTCATTCAGGGACACCTCTGACACGTATAAACTCTCGGCATGGCTCCTAACAGAGGCAGGAATACAGAGGTGCTAGTGGGAAAAGAATTTGCAAGCTCCAAACTAGCAATACCTCCCCATGGAGCACCTGTAATCACTTCCCAGGAAATCTGCTGGCACCCTAGTTACTGCAGGGGAAAAGGAAAAATAAAAATGTTTTTTTAAAGTGGCTTCAGGTGCTACAATACATTCTCTCACAAGTATGAAATGTGTATCAGCATTTCACAAAGAGCACCGCGGTTGTCAGACCCAGGGTGATGTTTAAGCTCTTGATACACTTATCTGCCTAATAATAACCCCAAAGAGCACTCCTTGCCTGGCTGCCTGCCAGACCGCATGCAGCCTCTCTGCCCTTTCTGCCTTTTTTTTTTTTTTAGTTTTTTTAACTTTGTCAGACATGGAAACATTGACTCTAAGAAATTCAGCCTCTTCTGTGAAACATTGGCTGAGACTTCTTCATTGTTGTGGAAACCATGACTTGGGTGCCGGGGAGGGGAGACAAAGGGGAAAACTCGTGTATTTTGCCTTCACGTGTGCTTTATTTTCTCCTCTGGCAGGAAACAGTGAGAAAGACTCTGACCCAGCTGCCGTCAGCTGCGTTGGAAGTGAGTGTATCAGCTCCACCTGCTTAATGTGGGTATTATTCAGGGCTGCAAGGACAATGATATGAGGCAAATCAGCAGTGACTGGTGTGTTCTCAAGAGACAAGTACTACACTGGTGCATGACACAAGTGATCCACAATGGTGGGACAACAGTGCCAAGGTTGGGATGAAGGAAGGTGGGAGAGAGGGATAAACATCTCCACCGGTTTTTTCTAGGGAAAAAGAGATATTACAAGGGGAGCATGGCTTGTTCAAACATTTCAGAGTTTGCACTACATTATTTCCAGCACTCAGAAGCAACAAACGAACTGCACCAAGAGATCCAGCAGCTACAGCTCCGAGAGGAACATCATGTCCATGTCAAGCTTTCAAAGCCATATAAACTGTAAGGAGTTCAACACGGTTTCTTTATACTCAGAGAATAACAGCCTTGACAAAACAGGCTGCAAGGTGCCACACTCTGCCCTTCACACCTGCTATGGATCTGGCCCTGTGCATCTCTGAGCTTAACTGTGCTGTAGCCCCACTGCAGCAGGTCCTGCAGACCACTCCTCACAGCTAGCTATGTCAAAGTAACAAAGGAGCCTCCAATGAGCACGTGGACAGCAGCACAGGCTGAAGCAACTGCTGCTGAAGCATGAGAGAGGCACTTCAATGGTGTTTTTAAAAGGAAAAGATAAAAAGAAAAAGGGAAAAAGCATACCTCTGCAAGTTCCAGCACAAGAAGAAAGCCCCAGGTCACTGCTGTAGCTAATGAGAAGGGCGACAGTGGTGCTCAGCAAGACTGTTCAAAACATCCTCATGACTTTTTTTTTTTTAAATCAAGTGAAATACACACAAACAGCATCATGTCCACAGCAGGCTGCTGCTTTGACATCCATACAGCCAGTAAGACCCTGTGAAGTTTTAATAGGCAGGTCAAACCTACAAAGACTTGGCTACCACCCTCTCCTGCCTCCACAACGTACCCCGTTCCCCAGTGGTTTTACTCTGAGAACTTCACAAGCTTTCACCAGCATTGCTGCTCAGAGAGCAGCCTGCTCACAGACAAAGCACACACAGCTCCAGCAGGAGAGAAGCCCTTTAGCTTATTCTGCATTGTATTCCTCCAGGATCCAAGTAAATAACAACACCTCACAAAAACAAATTACATCAGGCATGGGACCCTCATGACCCAAATGGGTGGGTTCTCATAAGAATTGACCACTGTTGCCTCCACACAGTCAGAGAAGTGGAAGCAAGCCAGGAAAGAAGGGCGGCATCGCCCTTTGCAAACACCTAATGAGCCCAACTGAAAACATGAAGCACAGCACCTTTGGAGACATCCCCCTGCACACCCTGGCAGGGCAGGCGGCTAGAGATGAAAAAGACCCACCAGAAAAGCTCTTCCGTAGGAGCTGATATTTCAGCCATTAAAGAAGTTTCTGTTTAAACAGACATTAATTGCATATGCTCAGGAATTTCTCAGTTTTACCACTTAAAAAACACCCAAAGCCACTTTGAGACTCTTTCCTTTTTTCTCTCCCACCTTTATTTGCTCTGTAAACACATTTGTGTGCGCCCTGGATCCTGTAACATTCTGCTGCAGTGACAGCAGCTCCAAAACAGAGCAGCAGCAGCAACCTACACATCTCACCAGGGACTGCTGAATGTCCTGGGTCCTGCCCCTGCCATCACAGTACACCACAATGCAGAACCCCACACAGCCCAGCTCCTGGCAGGACCTTCTCCCAGCACGGGATGAAGCAGAAGATGCTGTTGGTGCCATTTGTACCAACAGATAACACTATCAGAAGCACATGCTCACGAACCCAGCCTGCTCCCTCACAGGCTGAAACTCCCCCAACAAAACCCTACCTGTTAGCAGTGAGGTTTGTTTCTTAAAGTGCTGTTCCAAGTTTAGCAAGCAGATCACGGCCCTGATTGTGGTGGGTGGAAGATGTAAAATAACTGCAAATACTTTGTAGCCTTTTGAAGGGGCTGCTGAGGTCAGCCCAGTGATACTTCCCATCCCATGCCAGGCAAGAGCGATCCTCCTGTGCACAAATAGGATCACAGCCAACTGCTCCAGTAGGGCTGCCCATAAAGCTGCTCATGAAGATGAGATTTAATCTCATGAAGATGAACAGGACAAATGGAATCATGAAACGGATCAGTTCTTTGCCTTACTATATACGTACCTGCACATAAATGTTTATATGCACCTGGCAACATCTGTGCAGCTTTGGGCGAGCTTTGACCCTTCCTGGTCAGTAAACAGACCATAAAATCACTGCCCTAAACACACCTGGAGGCAAGAGAACACGCAGCAGCTCCATCTCCATGCCATCTCTGCACAGAGCAGAAGGAAACTTTAGCAGGGGCACCCCAGTGAAACGCCTCTCGAGCCCAAGGGAGCGATCTGTGGCATCGGCCCAGAGGGGCTGCTGGCAGATAGCCCACGGTACTTTCTATTATGTCCCTTAATATCGCCTTGCATCTCGCACATCTGTTGGCCTCCCTCCCCCAGGGGAAGGCTGGGAGTGACTCCTCTTGTCAAACAGGTCTGCTCCATGCCTCCAGCAACACAAATCTCCTGAGAGCAGACAGGAATCTCTTTTCCCTCTGAAATCAGGTCACCTCCACCACGCTCAACCTCAGCCCACCCAGAAAGTAAAGTCTGAACCAAAACTCAGACCCTTTGGCTGAGCTAGCCATGCCACCACCACTAAGCCCAGCAAGGCAGCCTCTGCAGCACCTCACAGAAGGGGGGGAAGGAGAGGGGAGTCATTTTTGGCAATGAAAATGTAATGGAACATTTTGTATCGATCCATTGTGGGATGAGTCATGTTTAGAGCAACTCGCCTCCTCTTCCCCTCACTTCCCCACCCCCAAATTATGGACTGCAAGAAATGAGCAGAGATAATGGGTAATTTCAGATGTTCTGAACTCAGGTTTGTTTCTCTCCTGCTGGAACAGCATGCCATGACAGTAGATGGACTGAGCTCCAGCAATGTCCTACACGTTCCCACGCCTTACACTGGCTACAAAAGAGTTGTGTCTAACTAATGGGCAGTTAGGAAAGAACTAGAAGGATGGTGGACTACTTGGTAGAGGAAATGAGGAGTTGGAAGGAAGATCTCAACAGCATCAGTAAAAGGAGACAAAAAAAATAGATGGGGATCAGACACAAGCCCCAGAAAAAGATAAGCAAGCTGGAGGTACATTTCTACACACACACACACCAATCTCTGATTTGCTGAGTCTCTAGGGGACTAACTAGCTTTGAGCATATAAAGTAGAAGATGACAAGCTGCTTATGCACTTCCCAATGTTTGGCAGTGGGACACAGACAGGATGGGACCGCCCAGCACCCTACCACATGGGGCATTCAAGCCTGGCCAAGAGATCTCCCAGCACTGAACTCCAGCCAGGACCAGTACACTCCATTCAGTGAAGAAACTGGTACTTCATACCCTGGGAGATGACTAATTGCAGTAGCTGAATTATGGCATAGCTTTTAACACACAACGAAGAGACATTAAGGTCATCTTGACTCTCATGTACACCATCCTCTCCCACAACAGACTTGCTGCTCTTTTTTACCTC